TCCCAAAGCTTGCGTGCTTGGGAACCTTTATGAGGGACAGTGTCAGAGGAGGGAAATGTTCTCCCCTCATTGACTTACTGACCCAGGACTGTGCTAGCATGTGCAGGCATGGTCAGTCACTGTGCCTGTCACACCCAGGAGTCCCCTACAGCAGACAGCATCCCATCTGCAGCTCTCTGCTTGGAGAAGCAGCCCTGGCCCTTGTATAGGGGAGGCACGGATTGGACTGGGAGAGGGCCCACACAGGCTGCCCTACAACAGCCCTGCAGTGGCCTTGTTCTTAGGGATCTTCCAGGTGTATGTGGGTAGGTCGAGATTGCAATGAATTGTTCCAGTCAACTTGGTTCAGCCCAAATTAGGAATGTAGAGTTAAACCATCTTGGCCAGTCAGACACCTTGGTGTGATGCAGACGACAAGAGCAAGAGGACAAGTGGTCCATGAGAAGGAGAGATGAGAGAGTAGCCTGTCTTTAGACCCCCTTGCTTCCAGCTCCAGTCCCTGCCTGTCTGTATTTACATAAGCCCTTTTTAATGGATCTGGACAAACTTGTACTTCTCTGTATGGTAAAGGAGTGAAGAATTTGGAGGCATGAGGAAGAATCCAGGAGGAGACAGAGATGTGAGCTAGCTAACTGGGTACCATCCAAGGGAAAGAAAAGGTAAAAATGATTCACAGAGTGATGGAAGTGAGACAGGGACTTGGGAGGAAAGAACTGCTCAAGCAGGCTTCCAGGTTGTCTGCTGCGGGGTATGTGGGATTAACATTCTCCTCCATCACGCCAGTGACACCTGCAATAAGTTCTGCATTTCACACTGATGGTTGTGCAGCCATGGGTTCTTGGTGGGGAAATGGAGCAGGGTGAGGGGACAACTCACATCTAGATTATACTCCATCTGCTCCCAATCTGGTTTTCTTAGGGTCTCTGTTTGATGTTCAAGGCTGCTCTCCAGTGTATGCCTTCATGTTTCCCTAAACACATCTAATTGTGTAATTATGTAAGAAATATATATGTGATGAAGGGCATAGCATTAGGTGACATGTTCATATATGTGAATGCAGGATGTTTTCATTTATGTGCATGTGTAAACACATCTGTGCACTCTGTATGACTCTGGATGTGTAAGCTGTGTGCATGACTGTGGGTGTCTGTGACAGGGTGTGGGGCTTGTGGCTATTCTCCAGAGATGGCTGCTGTGATACATCCCCTCCCACATGTTCTCCTTACCATATGATGTCAACTTCTTTCAGAGAGAGAGAGTTTCTCCTTACTTTTCCTTCCATGTAGACAGACCTCTGTGACTCCCTCAACCAATAGAACATGGCAGAAAAGATGCTATGTGACTTCTGAAGCTAGATCATAAAAATACCACGCACTTTTATGTTTTGTTCCCTTGGGATGCTCATTGTTAGAAACCAGCTATCAAACTGTGAGGAGGCCAAGCAGCTATTGGGAAAGGCCACTCGTCATGTCCTGGATGACAGTAACCAGTGGAGGTCCCAACCGACATCCAGCATCAGTTGCCGGCCATGTGTTGAGCCTCTTGTCTTCACTGAACCATGCCAGCTGACAGTACACAGAGCAGAGTTGGTTCTTCCCTGCCAAGCCCTACCCAAACTGCTAAGTAAATGATTATTTCAGGATGCTTAGTTATGCAGCAGTGGCTAACAGGAACAGGGCTGTAGCGGTGGCTGCCCTGTGTGTGTTCCTGTGGTTGGCTGTCTTTGTGGGTGCCCAAATTTGTGTCAGATGTCTGTGTCCCTGAGTAGGTGTTGTGGATTAAGGTGTTTCTGGAGACAGAATCGTGGTTCTTGGGGTTTTGCTTTGGCCTCAGTGGGAGCTGTTTGGTGAGAACCCTTTGAAATCTTGTCTGTCTTGTAGGTCTCTTCTTTTGAGTGCTTTTCCTTTGAACCAGAGAAAGCTGTTTAGCTGAGGGCAAATGCAGCTTAAATTTACTGACTTTTCTGGTCGAAGCCCCCTGGAGTTGCCAAGGCCTTGTAGCAAGTGACAGCAGGTGACATGTGAGGTCTCACATCCCTTTCACAGGGATTGTTTTGTTATTTTTCCTTTTCTGCTAATGAGGCCTTCAGAGATGAACCCGAGACAGAGGAAAACACAGTCACTGGCATCCTTGATATTTTCTGGAGTCGAGATACCTAGAATTCCTGAGTTCCACCAAGGAAGCTGCTTATGTGGACTCAGGTGTGCCCAGGTTTCAGTGTAGAGATCATCTGGTTTCTACCATGCCTTGGCTGCTGCTACCCATGCCATCTGTGTGCAGACCAGGAAGTGGAGGACCCTGCTTTCGAAGGCCAGTTCCTCTTGGTCTCCTTGGCAGTGCCCCTCAGCTTCTTGCTTGTTCTATGTTGGCAGCCCTACTCAGCTTTTCTGGGAACACTGAGAGCTCTGACTCCATACTCCTGCCCTTGCACTGTCTCTCAGGACCTCTAAAGTGCTATTGTTCAATAGAGCTTTCTGTGATGACAGAAATGTTCTATTATCTGTGCTGTATGGTATGGTAGACATTAGCCACATGTGGCTCTTGAGCACTTGAAATGAAGCTACTATGACTACTGAGTTTTAAATTTTATTTCATTTTAATTAATTTAATTAATATAAATCTAAACACTACATGTGGCTGTTAGCTACCATATTGGACAACATAGATCTGATGAGTTCAAGTAGTTTTATCTGAAAAATGGGAATAAATCTGCCCCATCTGCCTCACAGGGCTGTCTGGAGCAAACAAGATGATGGAGAAAAGATGTACTCACATAAGGGATTTGGAAAGAAAGACAGCAGTGTGAATTGAATGGGGTTCTTATAGCTTTGTTAATATTTCTGTTTTATAGTCCTTGTTGGACAGTGTTGATTTGATCTGTTTACCTTTCTGTGTCTCTTATCTGACCCTGAGCTCTTTGAGGATAAGAACCCAGTGAGACTATTTCTGCCCAATTCCAAGAGTAATTCAAGGAAACAGAAAAGAGACTTCTGTGATTCCATCACCCATTCTGTTCCCTAGACTTCAAAAACTTCCCACTTTTACAGTGGTCCTCCTTGTTTGCTGGCCATGAAAGTAGGGGCTGTCTGCTTAGGCCTAGCCCTGCACACTGGTTTTAGCAGCCAAGGCGGCTTGAGGTCAGAGCTGGTTCTCCTAGAAAAGTGGTCCTCAGGTCCTTTCAAGGTTTGGGGGACTGGCGGGGCTCAGAATTTCCCTTCTCCATACACTTAACCCAGTTAGCTCTGTCCCAAGAAAGAAGCCAAGCTCCTGAGTACTGGCATCTCTGTGTCCAGCTGGACTCTTCTCTTGGCCGATGCATTTATTTATTCATTCTAACATTTGAGCTTATTTTATTTATTTATTTATTATTTATTTATTTATAAAGATTTTATTTATTTATTTGACAGACAGAGACCACAAGTAGGCAGAGAAGCAGGCAAAGAGAGAGGAGGAAGCAGGCTCCCTGCCGAGCAGAGAGCCCGACTCGGGGCTCCATTCCGGGACCCTGAGACCATGACCTGAGCTGAAGACAGAGGTTTTAACCCACTGAGCCACCCAGGTGCCCCGCTTATTCTATCTATAAGCATATTACTCTGGTAGCACTTTGTTAATGTCTTTTTATAACTTGCTTCAGGTGCGATTTTAATCTATATATTCATTCTGTGAATTACCATTGTGCACTTTTGAACGTTTATTATTTATCTTCATGGTACTAGGCAGTGACACAAGCTAGAATTATTCCTGGGCTACTCTTACTAGCCTCCTGGGTGTTCCATGGAAAAAGTGAGCTGATAGCTGTCCTTTCCACTTAGTCCCAGGAAAGTGTTCTATGCAGACTTTTCTGGGAAAGAAAGAGAGAGAGAAAGAGAGAAAGAAAGGAAGGAAGGAAGGAAGGACCCCCACCCCTAAAAAAACCTGTCACTTCCCACTCAACTATTGCCCAAAGTCTTGTTCTCCTTCCCTAGGCTACTAACCAAAGTTTGCTCACAGCTGCAAAGTCAATTTCCCATCTGTTTGAAGTAAACATAAACAAGAAAGTAGATCAACTGTTAGAAGCCCAATCCGGAGACCCATTGGATGTTTCTTCTTGGAAAAAACCTGCTATTTGGGGGCGAAGTTACAGCTTGTTTGGATAGTTGTTTTCTCCACTTCTGAATGTCCAGGAATCACTATGTCGGACTCTCAGGTCCTGAGGGAGCAAGCACTCCATTTTACTTGTCGGATTAAATGCCTCTGGTCAAGGGGAAGGTCTTATCATTGAAAGAGAAGGGGACTTTGGGAGTCACCCAAATCTGGCTTATATTCTCACTTTTATTACATCTTGACTGTGACTTTGTACAAGTTCAACTTCTTTGACCCTTAGCTTCCCCATCTATAAAAAGGACAGGACAGTTCTGATCTTCAGAAGTTATTATTAGTAAATATATATGCAACACATGGCCCATAAGATATTCAGGAGGTAGAGCATAATTTGAACTGTGGATGACTATAACTTTGAAAATGATTGATTGTGTCAGTTCACACAGGACGTAAATATAAAAGCTAAATGACTTCCTCGTGTCCTATCTGCACGAATTTTCAAAGGACTATTTTTACTGCTTGAGACTCGGAGGTATCCCACACTGTGTGGCAACAGTTTGATTTCTCTTTACGCCTCACGTCCTCTGGTTTCGTCTGTTGTTCTTTCCGCTAGAAAGAAATTAGACTGTTGGGAAATCAGAGATGAAATTTCAAAGTCCCATTTTAGTCTGGCTTGGAAGCAAAATCAGGCCCATGGCGATCTCCCTCAGACGTGTCTCACTCTGGCGGAGGGATACAGGGGAGGAGGGATACAAGGAAAAAGGCCTCCATCACACGTGCGTTAGAAGGGGGTACTTAGCAGAAGCGGGGGAGACAGGCGGGGTTTAACAAGCTCGCTAGCAGGAAAGGCAGGGAGGAGGCCGCGCGTCTTTTCTGGAAGGCGGCAATTGGGCGAGACGGCCAGTGACGCAATAACTGCGCGCTCACAGCTTCAGAGGGTCGCCGCCGCGTCTGCGCATGGGGAGCTGATTGCCGCTGCAGCCGCCTGGAATTGTGGGGGTTGTATCTAACCCCTCGGCTGCCGGGCAGGAAGCCGAAGGTAGGGGCGAAGGGGGCCGCCCGTCCCTGGAGCTGGGCGGGAGTCTCGGACCGGTGTCCTAGCCTCTTCCCACAACTGTTCCGGGGTCCCCACACAGGACACCTACCCCCCACCCATACATCTCCTTCTTCCAAAGCGGGACGACCAAGCGAGACCTGGCCTCAGTCTTACCTTCCTTTTTTGTTCACAGCGTCTCCAGTAACTTTTTTTTTAAAAGTGCCAGGGTATGAGGCGGTGGGAATTCCGAGACTAGCTTCTGATTCTGTTTCAGCTTCCTTTTCTGTTTCCTTCTCCCACCCTGTTTCTGCATCTAACCGCTTCTTTGCTGACATTCTGGTTCTTGGCGGAGGCCTTGATGTCTCTTCACCATTTGGAATTGACCATATGCATTCGTCGTATTTCCACGCCTGACTTGTCTTGTCCTTTTTCCTCGTAGATGGAAGACTTGTCTTTGAAGTGCGGATTTTACACTTTGGTGTTTTTCAAATCCCCTAGGAGGTTGTGTACGTCCCTGGCCTGTACTCAGGGATTTCATTTAAAGTAGAGTATGGGCACCTGCAGTGCTTCCCAGGTGATTCTGATGGTCCTGAAATTCTTGCTTTGAGAGTCTCTCCTGTAGAAGACTGGAGGGAATCTGTTGCCATAGGAGCTCCCGAAATGGGCCTCTAGTGGGAAAGAATACCTAACACCTGAGAGGCCATTGGGGGATTTCTTGTAGTCTAAGAGCCCCTGCAGTACGCCACAGGTGAAACTGATGGAGCAAGAATTTCAGGACCATGAGAATAACCTGGGGAGCACTGC